TGCCAAACGTTTCTATGTCAAGGCCCGTTAGTCGTTCCCTGACCAATACGGCTCGACTAACACGTCCAGCACATTAATCGGATAATTATTCGCGAAACCAGTTTTGCATAATTGGCAGGATAATTGCCGCGTAATCGCGAACGGACGCTGGCGGAATACAAAGTATTAATTTCAGCGAAAATGTCAATAATCCCTGACGCAGCCATGGTCGTAACTTATCGTATCTGGAGTCGTATAAATAATTTATCGTGCAAAATTGCAGGATGTCCTAGACAGAGAACGTTTCGGAGTCGATGCATCGAGCGCCGCGGGCATCGATGCGCTTCGAGTGTATAAATGTCGCATGCATGTTTTCGTTGATGTAGCGTTTCTCGTGATACGAGTCCCGATAGCAGTCTGGACGTCCCCCTTTTAGCATTAAAAACCCGATGACGCAACGGTCGGGTTTTTTGCACCCTGACAAGGTTCCTTCAATCACTACTTGAGCGAGGAAAAATGTGTTGTCGCTTCAACAAGTAACGCTGAGCGAGATAGACGAGTTATCCCATTTGTTGCTCTGCTTTTAGTTGCTTTAGTTCGTAGCTGCTTTGGAACTGCCAATCTGATTCACAGTTAAAATAAATAAAAAAACAATTGCGTTCAGGGCGGAAGAAAGCCACGACGATCAGCTGTGAAACGCGTTAAAGAGGGAAAAGGGAAACGGAGAGTCCGTTGAACCCCGTCGAAATTTATTGCTCCGTTCCGCGCACTTCCGCGCGTGTACCAACCGCAGCGCGCAAGACAACAAGGTCCCTGGGATAATTACGTAATCAGAATTGTATTCGCGTCGTTATTGCCCCGGTAAAGCAGACTTTAATTTATACACCGCGGTGCATTTTATAATATTCCTGGCCGGGCTGACGGGGCCTCATTACGACTTTCTCTGTTCGTTTACGGTGCGCCCGTGTGTTCCCGCGCAACCGATTTATCGCATCGCATCGAGGCGAAGATCCATTACAACGCGCGGATTACACGCGGAAATAAATAAACGGGGATCCCCTCGTTCCGTAGCGGAATAGGATTTCGTCTTTGAACGTCACGGGTATGTAGCTACGTTGCTTTAGATTTGATCCTGAAAATATTTTTATTAGGTAGATTTTTGTACATGTAATAAATGCGATAATATCACCGTAGTGACATGTAGTGTGATAAGATAAATTTCCATCGATCCAGGAGTAACAAAAAGTGTGCATAGAGAAGGACCATTTCTACACGTATTTCTAAAGCTGATCGAGAACGATTTCAACGACCAACAAGTCTTTCTCGACTCAGGGATGCGTGTTGCAGGCCTCGATCCAGGTTCGCGAGCAACAACAAACGTCGTCGTCGGACGGAGCTCGCCGAAAAACTTTATGAACGGTTTATGAGCGCAATAATCCGCTCGCGAGTAACACAATACAGGCTAATTATAGAGGACGAGGTCCAGGTTGGTCGACAGGCATTAACGTATGCGCTAAAGACACGGGACACGACAGCCTGGGTGGCTTTCCTATTTTCGTCTTTTTTTTTCAGTATTTCTCCGTCGCTCTCTCTTGTTCTCTCTCGCGCCGTGTCGCTCCGTCGGTGTTCCCCGCACTTTGATCCTCGCGACGCTAATGCGTCTCTGTTATTTCAGTCCTTATCCCTGACAGCTAGACACCGGCGAAACGCGAGGCGACTTTTTCGATTCGTGTAAACCGATCTCGAACGTCGTACAGGTCGACGCTGGCGATCTACACGACACGGGACGCCTCGGCACTCGTCTTTTCATATGGAGATTTGACAGACAGTGATCGGAAGTAGCGATCCTTAATTGGAAATCGAGTTGAATCTAATCAATTGTTTGTTACAAAATATTTCGAGTTTTTCAGGTTCGAAAGGGCTCAGCTTTCGAGGCAGGAGAAAGATCGATTCGAAGATAACGCGGGTTGCCCCGGCGGGAAAAATGAAAACGATTTGCGGTCGGCGTTGCGTCTGAAATCGAGTTTGAAGCGAGCTTTTCTCGGAATCTCCTTCGGTACGACCGCAAATCGCCCCAATTTTTCCGCGTCGCGATGCGTTCACGAAATGAACATTGATATTCGAAACTCGTGAGGAGGGAGAACGTAATCCGATACTGTAATTGCGTTTACCGCTATGCGAAGCGGCTCTATCCTGCTTCGACGATGGTCTCTCGATTAGGACTGAGACTATTGGAATATTATTGTTTTAATATTTAGTGGGTATTCGAATAATACCATTAGGCTTTGAATATTCGAGTAATGGAATATTACTTAACCGTTGAAAGTTTTTACGATTACCGATTTATCTGAGAATTCAGAATGACCATAGCAAGAGCAATCGTTTCTAGACTCTGTTCTCTTGCATCGGTGGTAACCTAGAGAGACGCGATATTTTCCATTTTTATCGGATGCCGCCTCGTTGCGTCCACCCTCCAGCCAAGGACGACCTAACGAGTGTAGTTACGGTCGCGGCTAATTTCGAACGGAAAATGAACGCTCCGAAGGATTTTAATTATTAGCCAGTTGGCTCGCGGAGTTGGGAACAAGGTCGAGTTCTTCCAGTGACCTTTTGCCCCGCGCGCGGAGCCCCGGTGATTCAATTTGTTCTCGAGCTTTTTTTCTGCGCTCGAAGATATTAACATTCGTCTCGCGAGGGGGTTACCAATTACAGTGACTGATCGAGGGACGTTTGCAAAACGAAAGTCAGCTCCTTCCGCGGTGCTGGTTGCTCGATCGCTCTTTAGAACGCTGCGGAATCGGTTTTCGGATCGACGGGATCGAATGCGGCGAACTAGTAGTTCAGGTTTGAGTGACAGACATTTGGCAACAGTCTTAACACATTTATACGTGGACGTTCATCGAAGCTTGTAAGATTCAGAATGTAAGAACCAGTAGGACAAGATAACTAGGATTAATCTCTCCATACGGAGGACATTGAAGCATATAGCGTTTTCTTTAAAGCATCGACAAAATAATTTCTCTGCGTGTCGGAACGCGTACAGATTACAGCGCGACGATGTCAGGAGTCGTAACGTGACGGTCGTGTTTCTCGTCGGCGACATGTAATCCGGAATCAATTACTAGCTCGCAGCTCTAAGGAACTCCTCGTTCCCGCGCGATGAAAAGAGACAGCCCGTGGGACGCGACGACCTTTTTAGAGACCAACGATCATTAATCACCCGCTTTTTAGCTCGAAATTCCCTCGCGCCTAGTTTACAAAACGAGGGTCGTCGAAATCGCCTCGTCACCCACGACAAGGGTGCTGCTTTTTGTACTCTCGTCGGCGGACAGACGATCTGCCTTCCGCGGGATCGTTGCTCGTTTCCGTACAATTACTTCGAGCTATTACTTACCCGACACTGATCGTCGCGTCTCGGACTCCAGCACCTCAATGAAGCCAGAAGAACTCGCGTGAAGCCGCGAGGGGAAACGACTTTAACACGCAAACCAATTTTCGAAGAAATTAACCCCTTCGTGTCCACTGCGTCGTTTTCGATACACGACAGCCTCGCGAGACTGTCAATAGAAGCTTTGCCCTTAAGCATGGCGATTTAGCGATAGACTTACCGTAACGATGAACTCCCTTTTTAGCTCCCTTCATTCGCACCATGTGTAACGCGCCAGCGCCAGAAATCGTCGCAATTGTACAATTTCAGATATGTTAGCTAATCAAAAGTTTGATGTAGCTTGTACGCCTATGAGTAGTTTCAAATTTACGAGGCGATGAACAGCCGAGACAGTTTTTAACCCATCCAACTTCAGAGCATGATCTCGACAGATATTTCTAAATGAACGAAGTCGACGCTCAATCTTCCTCGACTTGATCTTCCCGATTTCTCTCTCCATCGCGACAATAAGACACTTTCGCCACCAACTCATTACGGATCGAATTCCTCGCGAATGAACGGGGAGAGGAAAAAAAGTGTCCATGGTCGTCGGTATTTCAAGCTCGTAGCCGTCGTTGTCGCTCTCGCCAGTCCGCGCGTCACACGCTTGACAAATGAGACGTTGTCGTACGTTTGTTCAAATTACTCCCGGCATTCCGCGCCGCGCGGTCCTCTCTGGCTCTCAACGAGCTTTGAAATATTACCCTCGTCACCTCCGCCGTTTCCTGGGCCGACCTGACGACGAAGAACGCCTCGACGATCGCCTAACGGTCGATCCTCTTGCAACTGCGGTCGTTTTTATCGCGATACCGAGTGGCTACCGCGAATCGCACGCCTCTAGTCTCCTCGGTTGTCGGATTTCTTGCATTACGCCAATCTTTCTTGCGATATGCAATTCTACGTTACACGTTTCCTATCATTTCTTTCCTTTGACGGGGTCATATGTGTTGGGAACTTCGAGAGTAGCTTGATTATCTTACATAAGTGTCGAACCCATCTATTCGCGCGCACCATTCTTCGTTTACGAATATTTAATAGCTCTGCGAACTCCAAAAACCTGTAGAACCGAGAACAAAAAAAAAATACTCCACGTTTATCATCCATCGCTGGATAATAATTTTTTGGCGCGCATATCTCGCAAATCGCGCCAAATCCGAGAACAAATCTCGCGTCGACCAGCGATGCCAAAGAGTCAAAGACTCTAGAATTTTTACTTTAAAATCCGCCTGGTAGCACGTACACGAGCGCTTACACGATGGAAGCCAGATTGGCCAGTGTTTGCGAAGAGCAAACGCCGCTAATTAAAATCCCGCGGCTCTCCTCGGTCGGTAATCAACGAATGCCTTTAGGCTGCGAGGATGGTCAACGATCCTCGACCCTTCAACCCCTTTTTCGACCCGAAGAACCGACCGAACACGTTCGATTCGATCGGTTTCGACGTTCGCCCTATGACGTTCGTTTCCCTCTAGACTCGATCTTAGAAAGGACCGAAAAAAGAATTTAATTCTAGAGGTAGTCGAGGATTATGACTCTAGAAAATCTAACTCGTTCCTAGACCGAACTGTATAGAATCTATTCATCCCAAAAAACTTACCTGACTATGCAGCCCTCGATTTTCTTCGCTAAACTCCCGAGCGAGCATTCCGCAGCGTCGCTTCCCCGTTGCTGCGAGTCGTACGGCATCGTCTGCGAACAAAAGTGTCCAAATCTCTTAGCAACCACGACGAAAAGCGTTCGAGTTAAGTGCGCGAGACCCAATTCCCTGGCGTTGTCCTCTACCGAGCACGAGACAACGCGTCGCTTTTTAGCTCGTAAATCAGTCTCGTGGAACGAGGGTGAAAACGAGGTACACGGTTTCCGCTTTATTTTAGAGCAACGACAGCACATGCTTTCGGAAAGTCGAACACTCGTCAACCACTTCCGCGTGATGTACGAGCGAAACTCAGTGTTCGTGGCGACATACTTACGGCTAACCACGCGGAGCACCAGCTTCTGAGGCCACAGACGGAGCGAGACTTTTGCTCACCCCAAACTATGAGAGTTCCAGAATCTCAAATACTGTTACAAAATTTCATATTTGGCCTCAGGGATGACCTTAGGGATCCAGAGGGTGCTAGAGGGTGAACGAATCCAAAGATTCCTTCGCAACTGGCTAGGTGTATCCAAACGAAAAACTCACCGAGCACGCTACCGAACAGGACCAGCGTCAGATCGAGAGATCCTCGGCGTCGTCGTCTTCCATCACCCGAATTCCGATCAGACATCCCAGTAGCCTCTGGGTTGAAACCAAGCACCCCGAAAATTTTTCCCTCTGCGTTGGGTTAGGTCTGGCAGCCCTGGAGATCGATATCTCTCGTCTAAGGCCGCCTCGATCCATCCCTGAGGCCCGAGGAAAGAGTTAGCCGGGGCAAGGGCTATTAATAATCGTTGGTTGAAAGGCGCGTGCTGGCGGGACGGTCGTGTGTCGCCTAACGGGTGGCACGGAATGTTTGTTTGCTCGCGGCGGCCACCGGGTTGACCAACAGGGAGGAATTCTGGCGGCCACGGGACAAGGGAGAGACAAGGGGCGAGAGATGTTTTCACACCGGGATGAAAATAGTGCGTAACGATCCGCTGGGACCCCGAGAGAGATTTATCAGGGCTTAATGGTCTAACGGGCTCGTAAAAAGAAAGGCTGCCATCGAGAGACTTTGTCAACGACTTTGTTCAAGTTATGTCAACAGAGGCACGCTGCCAACAGCTGGCGATGGCTGCCGTGTTATTTCGACGTTAACGACGACTTGTTTATAGGCACGACACCCGGCACGTGGGGGAAGCAAAGATGATTTTACATGGCAGAAAACGACCGTTCGGGGAACAATTTGTTTATCGGAGCGGCTTCTGGATAAAAGAAGCTCTCGTTGTTCGAAGACGTCACCGACCGTTCGAGTTCAGAAGGAACGTTTATTCGTTGGAAGAAACGGCAAATGTTAAAAAGTGGGGGTTTTAGGTATTATAAATCCACTATTACTTACTGGCAATGTTGAAGTAGATAGCGCACGTGTCGAAGATTCGTTTGTTACCAGGACGAAATGATCAGCGAAGGGTGAACGACGATTGTGCCACAATGTTTCCGTGGCATTCGTAGAAATTGTTTCCTCGTTAACGCGCAGGAGAACGCAATAACTTCTCCGATCTCCGCGCAGCCGGCGACTCGCGAGTATTAATTGTACTCGTGACGAACGCTTGATCGTAATCGAATTCTCGATGATCGAGCGTTTCGACTTTGATTAAACTCCCTTTGATGAAAGTGATTATCTGATCCTTATGTTCTTCGAGTGGAAGGACTTTTTCTTGGGAGTCGCAAGGTAAACAAGATAGCTTAAAGAGTATCTATCCCATCTTTAAGTTAGACAGTATAAATCTAGGTGTAGGTTATAAAAACCCTGTTTACTTTTATCTCACTTCTCGTGCAATGCCATCTTTCTCCATGCACCGTATGTTAACGTTACGGTGAATATGGTCGTTACAGAAAATATCGATCCACATTGGTTCTTAACTCGGTTAACATCGTGAATTTAACGCTTCTTTAAAAAAAAGTAACACCACGAAACGAGAGCGATCAGTTCAGAGAAGCCGTTTCCATCGATAAACGGCACGCGAGATGATTCGCGAGATAACCAAATTGTAGAGACCACGGTAAAGCCGAGTCTCTACAAACAGGCAGCCTGTTTTCAAACAGGAACTCTGCGAGTTTCGCGACAATGTGTCGCAAGCTCCTGGAGGTCCGTGCACGTGTTTAAATCGGTATTAAGTGCATCGTCGGAGGAACAGTGCCAAGAGGCGAAGTCAAACAGACGTTTATCTAATGTGTAATGGCATAATTTGCGAAGGGGCTTAATCGCATCAGTGTTACTTGGCCGTCCAGCAGAGTGGAATAAGCCGATCGTGTCTCAGACATCCCTCTCTGGCTTGGTGCTTATCGTTCGTCCGTGGAACCAAATTGCATTACACCCATGGAATATTATTACGGGCCCGCGAACCGTGATTAATCACTCGACGCAGATTTTACGTCAAACGACAGGAGTCGTCGTAAATAATTATACACCAATAATACAAACAAAGAAAATTAACATAGCTCCACCATTAACGATTCGATCCAATATATCACGTATCACAGACGTTGTTTGTCGAACGAGCATCCATAACGATTCTTTTTGCACAAATTGGCGGATCTTGGGTCGAGTCGCGTGGTGAAAACCTCTCGTTGCTTCTCGAAAGCGACACGCGTCCCTCCATAAATCGTTTTCCACTACCCTCGACGAATCATGGGAAACGACACCGGCTCGCTGTCACTCGCAAGGGAAACGCCTGTTGTTCTCGTGCTTCTCCCGAATTAGGGTATTTAGTCGGCTCTGTTGGATCTGCTCACGCGTTTTCACGGTACACGCGCGTGTTTACGTGAACTTGCACGAACCGAGAATAGAACGCGATCCTCGAACCGGTCAATTTGGGCGAGTTTCGTCGGCGGCTCTCTTTGCCTCCTGCGTGGCCGATCGTTACGCTCGAATATAGTTGTCAGCTGAAATGATGAGGAGCTTGAATCCCTGATAAATCACTTTCGAACCACGGATACCCACGTATTTCCACGATCACTGAGTTTATTGCGGCAAATTGCGCAGCTGAGGAAGGCAGGATGCGAATAATGAACGAGAAGAAGACTTTCTGATCCTGAAAGCTCAAAACAAGAGCGAAGTAGGAGAAGTCGATGTTTCAAAGTGTGTTTTTCCTGCGAAGACTGTGTGTTTTCGAGTGTAGTGTAACTACAGCAAAGTGGCAATCGATACTCTCACAGGCTGAACTCTGGGATAGTTATTTGTTGAAATTTATTTAATACCGTATAGAGTACCTATTATAGAGCGAAATTTGATGTGCTTGTAGATTGGTAGATTAGGAAGTGTATGAAATTATAACGTTAATTTGTTGTACATGCACCACATCGGAATTTCAATTTGCCGGTTGAACGCTTTTTCGACTCTCCCTTTTCACGGTGACACGCGTGATTTCATGCTCGGTCGTCCGAGCTTTGCTATTGAAACGAATTAAATAAACTGCTCGTTTGTGATACATAACGCCTCCGACAATATTTGCATATGCTCCGGTTTGTGCATTCCATACGTAGAAAATTAAAACTTGTATTTTTCGTGGAAAAACAAACCGTTGACTAGGTTCACAAAATTAGACAAACATATTTGACAAAAATAGATTCGGTAAAAATTAGACTAGGATAGGGGAAACACGGTGTACTCGATTCCTACTATAGTTCATCGTCGGACTACTTTCGTTGCTTTCTAAACATTGTATTGGTCCACCACAGGTGCAAATCACACTATATCTAAACTAGAACGCATAAGCTTATGGAAACTCGAAACCTGTAAAATACCAAAGAAGTCGCCATCGTAAATCATGTTCGCGCCCTTGCAGCTAACGCGTTCAAAATTGCTCGACGTCCAAGTTTCCTCGACCTTATCGATCAGCAAACCCACCCTCTGCGAAGTTCTTGGAACAACAAGGACAAAGGAAACACCGAGTACCTCGCAGTACACTCCACGGTTAGATTTCCAAGGGGGTAGCCTTGGTCGCGAGCTGGCGGGGCTGGCGTAAATCCACAGAATCGACGTGTCAACGAATTCGACGATTCTCCCCGCGGAGGTTACACGCCGTGGTCTGCGGTTGACGTCGATTAATCACGCGGCGGCTAGTGTGCGTGGCTGCGGGCAACGACGTGTCGGTGACTTGCAACTACGCCCGCCGCCTATCATATTAACGGGTAATTGAAAGATATCCGGCCTGGAAAGCGGCACCGTGATTTTTTGTGATGTCACTACGAGCGCCGCGACGGCGAACGCTGCGCCCAACGATCGCGGGGTGACTTGCATCGAAGACCCTGGCGACGCGCTCGAGTCTGGGCTGCTCGAGGTCCACTGACTTGGGGGTTGGATCGATGTATTTTGGTAGTCCACCGAGGTGTCGAGACTCCGTTCTAACATTCGACGACCAGTTCGTGGCCATCCAACTTGAGCAAGCGTTCATCACCTCGTGGTTGTCATCATTATGACATTAGAAGGTTCCGTTAGAGAAATAACCTCTACCAATGATCGCTATATCGTTGACAATGGATTCAAAATTGGAGGTTTGCTTGTCGAAGGTCGTTCGAGCCACGGAAACGTTTAACGCGAGCGGGTCTGCCCGTGGCAGCCGATAATCCGTGGCGGTGCGATTATTCCCGGCACGACACCGAAATAGATGGTTTACAGCCTCCCTTAAATACGTCAACGTTTATGCGTGGATTCCCGAAAGTAAATCGACGAAGAATGTTTTCGTACGACGCCGGCCCGTCACGAGCACAAGCCAACTTAAACGCTGAAAGCGTGCCCGCAGCTCTGCCGAAATCTCTCCCCGGTTATTATTAATAACGCGTGGAAGCTGCTTTGTTTACGGTGTCGCGGGCCTTTACGCGTTTCGCGAGGTCTCGATGAAACCTTCGAGACGTCGACCAGCCGACACTACGATCTCTCGGTTTCTGCGCGACATACGCTTGCAAACGGCAAAGTGATTAGTCGTGTACATTCTTGGGGATTTTTACTTTTTCTTTTATTCTCAATGTCTTTCTTCTAAACGCCACCGAAGCGTCTCAGAATCCT